AGGAGGTTTGCACACCCACACAATGCCCAGGCACACTCGTGGGTGAGCTGGGCTGGGCTGGCTGTGCTCCCCCGGATCCAGAGGGGTATGTACAGGGGTGGGAGCCAAGGAAAGCATCAACCACCTACACACACCAGCAGTGGGGGCTGGAAGATTGGGATACAGCTGGGACAGGCATCCCTGCGTGATCCCCCCGTGGTATGGTACCCCGGATGCAGAACCCAAGTGCAGGACACCCCCACATCTGTCGGATGGAGAAGCCCTGCAACACCAGGCACCCCTGGGTCAGCACTGGTATGTGGGGCCCATCTGGGAGCAGTTGTACCCCTGGCACGTCAGTGCCACAGCCATGCCAGCGCCACACTGGGGGATGGGGCCGCTGTCCTCCTCTTGCAGCTTGGGGGTTTGCTGCCTTCTGGGACCATCCCTGCCCCCAGTGGTGGCGTGGGGAAGGGAGAAGGGCTTGAGGGGGTCTTGGGGACAAAGCCATGGGCCAGCAGCCAGATGCGGTCACCAGGTGGGTCCCACCAGGGCTCGGGCAAAGTGTCTCGCTAAAGGCATCTCCGAGTAGGTAAGGCAAAAGGAGCTCAGGTCACTTCATCTGTGCAGCGCCGCTCAGCGCTGGGCTCTCTGTGGCTGCTGCAGACACACACTCCAGGGATCCCAAGAACACAGGCAAGGCATTGCTTACAGAGGAGCCCAGGAGAGGAACGGCCTCAGTGTTGCCCAAATCCTGGAGGGACCTGCTGTGCACCACCGGGATGGTGCCGTGGAGTGCTGCAGAGGAGTGAGGATGGGACAGCAAATGGCCCCATGTCCACCCTTGAGCCTGGTGGGGCCAGCATCTGTGGGACTGATGCCAGCAGTGCCAGAATTTCACCATGTCTGCCCCTGCTCTGGTGGTGAAGCCATCCAGCTCCCATGAACTGGATGATGCAGCCTGGGGGATCAGTGCACCTCAATCCCTTGGGGCTCAGCTCCCACACTCATCCCCAACACGCCCTTTGGCTCAACCCCAGCAGGGCAAGCTGCTCACCACGGTTCCCCTGCCCATGGGTGTTTCAAGTGGCTTTGGATGGGGTGACAGAGCCCTGGGCCCCACACAGTTGGACCCTCTGGGGCTGGTGGACCCCCTGGGGCTGAGGGGGTCCATAGGGGTTCAGCTGTGGGACTGGAGGGACCACAGGAAGGTCAGCAAAGTCCACGCACGGTGATCTGTAGGAGAGGAGGAACCACAGAAGACCATGAGGGTCCAGGTAGGGTGGTCTGCAGGGCCAGAGGAACCACAGGAGTTGGTGGGGTACATGCACAGCTGTCAGCATGACAGGGGAGTGGTGGGAGACTATCAGGGTCCATGTATAGCCAGAGTGACCATGGGAGACCAACAGCATCCACGCATGGTGCCAAGAAGGACCAGAGGGACCCCAGAGCGCCGGCAGGATCCGTGCACAGGGGTCAGGATGGCTGGAATTGTGAAGCCACTGTGAGCCAGGGATGCTCCCGACACACTGGGCACCAGGGAAGCTGCTTGCAGTGAAGAGGCTCCTGGGTGGGCACCACAGGAACACCCACGCAGTGGGGATGTGTTGGGGACACAGCAGGGACACGGATGCGACTGGATGGACCCTCTGCAGAGCGCAGCCCCCTCTGTGTGTGTGCAAACCAGGAGCAGGGCCCCCAGCCTCGGCACATGTGTAGCCCTTGCAGGGGATGTGGCTGCATGGGACTGAGCTGGGCGAAGGATATGAATCCTTCCATGGGTGAGTGGATCCAGGGGTCCCAGGGAGGGGGGGATTTTAGCCAACAGATGCTCAGCAGCAGCTGCTGGGAAGAGGCCAGAGCAGGTTCTCCAGGGTGGGACCCAGCAAGGCGTGCAGGCACAGTATA